GGAAAAAGATATGGGGCATGTTGAATTTGAGATGTTTATCTAATGTGCAGGAAGAGAACCAAGTGAAAACAGTGTTAGGAAAACCAGAAGAGGAAAGAGTACCTCGGAGGACAACAGGGTCAACATTGTCAAATGTTGCAAAACAACCACCATACTGGCAATTAGAAAAATCCTTAGTGACTTTGGAGAGGGCTGTTTCAATTGAATGATGAGGTTAGAAGTCAGATTACAAATGATTTAGAAAGAGTGAAAGGAGAGAGAGAATGCAATAGGTATAGATAACTTTCCCAAGGAATTTTGGCTGAGAAAAGCGAGGAGAAACACAGGACAATAAATTGCCAAGATGATAAGGCCTAATGGGCTTTTTCAGAATTGGAAGGACTTGTGTGTGATTATAGGCAGCAGTGAAGCTCAATATTAGAGATTAACACCATTCTCCTTTTAGATAACTATTCATTGGGAAGTTTTTGTTGTATCAAACAAATTTGCTTCTCTGTAACTTCTTTTACTTCTTCTATAACTGTATAACTTCTATAACTCCTAGTTTTGCCCTCCGAGGTTTGACAGAACAAGAGTAATCCTGCTTCCAGGTAAGGGCCCTTCAAACACCCAAAGACAGCTCTTCTATCCCCTCTTTTCTGCAGAGTGAATATCTCTAGTTCTTGGAGGCTGTTAATCATCCTGGTTGAGCTCCTTGGGACTCTCTCCAATTTATCAATGTCAATGAATTGAACTTTTTCAGGGATACTTTTATGAGTCTTTGGAAGTCATTACTATGCATATATTTAATATTCACTCTCCAACTCAGGTGCAGCTATATGATTGATAATGTGATTCTGCTGATCAATGGTGTGCTACAAAAGAAATCTGTCAAGGAAATTCTTAAGAAGTGTCACCCCCTGGGCAGTTTTATGGAAATGGAAGCTGTCAACATTGTAGAGACACCTTCAGATCTGTTTGATGCTGTTCTGGTTGAAACACCTTTGGGTATGCAAGTATATACAATTCTTGACTTGTCTGTACATTTTCTCAAATACAGAAACAACATCACTGAAATCCATATCTTACCTTTTTATATTTGATTAGTTAATGAATTAGACTGTATGGCAAGTGAATTATAGAATTCTACATTTTTAGAGAGGACTTTATATCACTAGTTTCTTAATGTTTTATTGTAGCTTTATGCCTATAAAAGTCACATACAATGTATTTCATTTTAAGTATATATGTTAAGTATATATGTACCTCTGTGAATACATGTGTATACATATATTTACATATATACATATGTATGTGTGTGTATATATGTATATGTATACATATATTGACATACATACATATATAAATAAAAGTGTATGTGTATATACCTTTTTGAATAAGAGTCTCCAGAGCTTCTGAAAAATGACCTGAAAGAATATTTTTGTCGTGTTTTGCACTGGATTATAATTCATGTTGCTAACAGCAATTTTGACCAATTGAATGCTAAGGGGATACTTTTGTAAGTGAATTCCATTTAATTTTTGTTGGGAAAAATGAACAGTGGTAGTTTACTGTGAAGATCATTCATCAGTGTGGCCAATTTCTATTACAAAAACTAAAAGAGCAATGACTATAACAATTAAACCTCACTTAATTCCATAATGTACTATAGATTGTTCCTTTAGTGCCCCATCCTTCCTCTGAATTAGACTCATAGAGTCTTGGAGTCAAAAGCAGTATTCAAGAAGATCAAAGCCTTTTCAATAGCCTTATGAGAGCCTTATCTTCTCCCTCCCCAGAAGCACAAGATAGACAAATTGTCTTCTTTTATTTCTATGGTCATCCAATATAGTCTTTGCTTAAAACCCTCTAATGACAGCCCTTTCCACTTTGGGATAGCTCTAATTGTGGGGAAAGTTTTTCTTATATTGAACTCAAATCTGTAACTTTTATCCATTGCCCCTAGTTCTGCCCTCGGAGCCAAGGACAAATTTAATCCCTTTTCCATAAAACAGGTCTTCTTATGCTTAAAGATAACTGTCAAGTCTCCATCATTCATCTCTTCTCTGGACTAAGCACCTCCAGTTCCCTCAAACCATCCTCATGTCGTGCTCTCCAGGCCTTTCATCATCCTAGTTTTTTGCCAGCTCAGCTTGCAGGCATGGGCACAGCAGCTAGGTGGTGCAGTGGCTAGAATGCCAGGCCTGGAGTCAGGAAGATTTATCTTCCTGACTTCAAATTCAGCCTTGGACACTTACTAGCTGTTCAATGACTCTGGGCAAGTCACTTCACCCTGTTTGTCTTAGTTTCCTCATAAAACGAGCTGGAGAACGAAATGGCAAACCCCTACAGTATCTTTGCCAAGAAAACCCCAAATGGAGTCACGAAGAATCAGATACAACTGAAATAACAACCCATTCTATAGATGGATAGGAAAAGGGCTGACAAACCTCTTAGGTGCCTGCTTACTTTAAGAATAGCCTAATTTTTCCCTGTCACAGAAGGTTTGAGAAAAGACAGGTTGCAATGTCCGTACTTATATCTTTGTTCTAGCCAGCGTGAGAGGCATTAAAAAAGAGGCACGGTTCTTGTCACCCCTCATCATACTGCAGTCTTATTAATCAACAAAGTATTTCTTGAATATCCACTAGGGGGTACAGTGAATACAGCACCAGGCCTAAAGTCAGGAAGACCCGAGTTCAAATCCAGTCTCAGACACTTACTAATTGTGTGACCCTAAACAAGTCACTTCACTTCTATTTACCTCAGTTTCCCCATCTGTCAAATGGGGATAATAATAGCAACTACCACCCAGGGTTGTTGTGAGGATCAAATGAGAAAATTATAAAGCACTTAGCACAGTGCCTGGTACATAGTAAGTACTATATAAGTATTAGCTATTATTAATTATTATTCTATACATTCTTATTAATTATACACTCTATTCTAGAAAGATACTGAATATAAAAATTGGAATAGAGACTGGACCTATGATTTCATTGCTATAGAGAACTCCTGGGTGAGGAAACTCCTATTAATACAGACCCTTTCATTGCAATTTATAGTCTTTGCCTAGGACAACAATAAGTGAGTTGCAAAAGATCAAATAGCCAGTATTTATCAGACTTGAGCCTAGGTTTTTCTAGTTTTGAGGCCAGATCTCATCTGACCATACCATACTGTAATATGTAGAGTATATAGCATTCATGTAGACTTATAGGAACTATAAGACAGGGTTTCTGATCTCCAAGAGTTTATTGTGATTGTGAGATAAAATATGTATTAAAAATTAAATAATATTCAAAGAAAGTATAATTGTTAAATGAGTACAAAGATTATAAAGGCTTTAGGACTTCAGAGAAGAAGTGCGATCAGTATGGGCTGAAGTGATTAGGGAAAGCCTCATGGGAGAGAGGACATAATCATACATATAGCACCTACTATGTGCCAGGCCCTATGCTAAGTGTTTATGACAAATGTCCCATTTGATCCTTACAATGACCCCAAGAAATAGCTGCTATTATGATGTCCGTTTTACCATTGAGGAAAGTGAGGCAAACAGAGGTTAAGTGACTTGCCTAGTGTTACACAGCTAGTCAGTATCAGAGGTCAAATTTGAACTCAAGTCTTCTTGACTCTATGCACTGTACCACCTAGCTGCCTCATGGAGAAGGGGGACTTAAGCTAGGCCCTGAAGGAATGGGTACGATTTTGCAGCAGCAGTACTAAATAAGGAGCCAGAAGACCCGAGTTCCAGTTCTGGCTTTGCCAGCAGATGTCCTTAAGCAAATCCTATCATCTCTTGGCCTCGCTTTCATCTATCAAATAAGGGTATTTCACTAGGCGACCTCTAACATCCCTTATAGCTCTAAAGATTTATCGATTTATGACTATTGCTCTAGGAAAAGCTAAAGCATTCCAGGTCAAACTCAGTATGAGCGAAAGGCCTAGGATGAGGATCAGAATTCAGTGAGATATGTTTGGATAACACCAACAGTAAGTCGGTGTCATCACATTTATAGCTATATGCATGGCCAAATGTGTAGCATGAATTAATTCTGTGACCATCTCTGTTTTCAGCTCCTTTCTTTCAAGATTGCATGTCTGAAAATACCCTTAATGAAGTGAATATTGAAATAATGCGTAATAAACTCTACAAGGTAAATACTTCTGTAAAGTATTGGATTTTGTAGTAGAAAATGCCCCAAACTAGAGAACAAAAAGTTGTTTTACAGTAAGTTATAAAGAGAAAAGTTACCATGCTCCTAAGTCAGTTTCCACAACCACATATACCATGCTCCTTTATGCCAGAATCACACAAACCCCATTTCAATTCAAGGAGTATTAAGTGTTGACACAGGTACGTTCATGCCACTGTTCTAGATTACTGAGTGATTCAAACAAATCGTGAAACATGGTCTCTTGCCTTCAAAATGCTTATCGGTTTGAATCACCTTGCTCGACTATTCACACAGTTTTCACTTGCTGACGACACGTGACACCCTGGGGTGGCATTGCTAGAAATTCATGACAATCAATCCTGAGCTTCCTTCAGGGCTCATCTTGTGCCCTATCCCATAGGAAGCACATACTCATCCTCCCAAATCCTGGTGCTCTTCTCCTCTCCCCCCCACCCCCGACCAATGCTTTATGTATATTTTACATTTAGTTTTCTTTATACATGTTTTCTCCCAATACATTACAGGCTCCTCTCATTTTTGGCTTTGTACTCCAGGAGAGGCAGCGTGGTATCTTGGCTAGAGGTGGCTTTGAAGACAGGAAGACCTGGGTGGGATCATCCCACTTCTGACACACACTGGCTGTCTGACCTTACACAAGTCATTAAACCTAACTTGTAGGCAAGTCTTTAAAACCAAGTTGCAGAGAAGGTACCAACCTATATTGATAGTAGGAGACATTTCATCTCTCAGCTCTGCCTCCCATTCCTCATCTCAGAGTTTCCTATACCAATAAAATTATAAGTCAAGTTCCTTTGTTATCAAATTAAGAATAGTATTTATTATAGGTTGAGCAAAAGATATATTGTCTTGTCCAGTCAATAAGAATGATGGATCCCTCACATCACAATTTCATACATTCCACAGTTTATACCTCAAAATATGGGGAGACACACATACGTACTTTGTGGAAGTCTGAGTATCTGCTTTTCCCCTGATGACTTTCCCCTCTCCAAAGATCCTCAAAAGAAGCATCACAAAGGCCATAGCTGCCATTGGAATATTCTCCTAATTGTGATTAGAAATATTCTCCATTTGTCTCTGCCAGGTACACAGGATACATTACATGGTCAGGTCAAATCAACTTGTTCAGCTCCTATGGACCTTGCTGTGGGAGAGATTACAACTTTCTCAGGATGACATTCTTACCTAGGGGCAAGCGGAACGATTCACAATACTGCAGAGCGTTAAGTTGTATAACAAAGATGATAACTACAGATTGTATTTGGTTCTCCTTCTCTTTGCTGTTGTCCTTACTCACATTGTGTGAGTTTATAATAATTTTTATCAGAGCATGATCTATACAATATTTCCCCGGGGAAAAAGGATGTAATTTCCATTCACAACATTTAGTAACTCACAGTAAGTTGAGCATTCAACCTTTTTAAAGGAAAATGTATTTATTTTATTGTCTTACAATTTTTTTTAAAAGTCATACCTTGAGGCTTTCTACAAATTCTGCAAAGAACATGGTGATGTCACAGCAGAAGTAATGTGCCCTATTCTTGAGGTAAGAAAGAGGTAACTTTTTTTTTAAATGGCCAAATGTATCTAGTCATTTTTCAGTTATTTTAAAGGTTTTTTCTAACCTTTTCTAACCATCTAAGTGATTCCTTTTTCTATAATTTAAGCCAACGCTAGATAAAGTTATTTGTATATGTAAAATAAGACAGGATAGCATAGTAGAAAAGCCATTGGAAAGTTTCCTTCCTTCCTTCTTCATCAAACCTTGTTATAGACCTTGATTTACCTCATTGCATAAAATTGCCTTGTTGCATCAGAATGTAATAAAGTTATTTTTTGGGAACTACCTATCTTAAATACTTCTTCCTTCCTCCCTTCCTATGTGTGTACATATACATATATAATATACATGTATATGTATATATTCTCCTCTATACATAAATATGATTTATTTGCATGGGAATTCACATGCATATGTGCATTTATACACATGTATATATCTCATACATATAATAATAGATGCATATGCATATGTCCATATAAATGTAGAAATAGATATGTGAATCTGTTTATAGGACTTTACATTTTTGTTAAATTTGTCCTTGCTAATCTTGACCCATAATTCCAGCCTGTCCAAATCTGATTCCTGATTCTATCATTAATATGTCATACCAAATACTTAACTATCTTTAGGACTCTGGGCAAGTTATTCAATATCTCTGTCCCTCAACTAACTCATTTGTAAAATATGGTTTATTAAACCCTAACTACTTCACAAAGTTGATGTAAAGATTAAACATGATAGTATATTGATAAGCACTGCATACATTGAATTTCTAATAATATTATTATTTCATATACAGTTCAACTCTGACATGCTCGGTTTGACATTTAAAGCCCTTTGCAACCTGGCGTCTTCCCACCTTTCCAATCTTCTTACACTTCCCTCCATACACTCTATGATTCAGTTACATTATCCTACCCAATGTTCCTTAAGAACAACACTTAATTTCTTATCTTTTCATGAGCTGTTCCCCATGCCTGTAATGCTCTGTCCTCTCACATCCACATCCTAGCCTCCCTGACTTCCTTCAAGAAGTCCTTCAAGACTCAATTCAAATCCCAGGTCTCCCTTACCTCTCCCCCCTCCCCAACATACATAACCTTTTCCAACATCAGAGCCTTCCCTCTGAGATCATCCTCCATTTATACTACATAAACCTTGTTTTTGCATGTTGTCTTGGTTATCTCCTTCATTATAATGTGTGTTTGTTGAAGATAGGGACTGGAGTTTTGTCTTTCTTTGCTTCCTTAGCACTTGGCATAGTACCTGGCCTATAGAAAGTGGTTAATAAATGGTTATTAACTGAATGATTATTGTCTCATTTAAATAATAAGTAAATATGCAAGGTTGACAACATGTATTGGTTGACAACATGTATTAGTTGACATAAATTAGTTTATATAGCATCCAATAAACTGAACATGATACTAGTGTTAACACCAAACAAATCTTATATTATGAGATTTCACAACTGTAACTTTGATTTAAACAAGTGTTTTAATATGCAAGGATAAGGTCAAGTTTATGTTAGACAAGTACCGTCAAGCATACTGTGCTATTTGCCCTGAAATAACCTCTTTCCCACCATTTGAATTGTCCACGTGGTATATAAAGAAACATAGTAATAAAACAAACACACGGTTTGTGGAGGCATGTTTGATTTATCTCTATTAGAGTATGTTGCTAACAATAATAAGGCCAAGGTCCTGGGACCTAGTTAGTTTTGCTTTGTTCTATGAGCTTAGACTCACCCTTCTATTTCCAGTCTATATCTACATGCCCTTAAATAGTCACAAGGGGGCTTGGCATGAGGGCAGAGATGCATCCACACAAATTGATAATGACTACATGAAAATAATTGATTCCTGAGTTAGGAACCTTGTCTTCATAAATGTAGAACAGTCTGCTACTACAACCACAGACTCGCTTAGGTTAGTGGTTTTAAGCACCACTATTTGTGAGTAGAAAGATATTTTCAGGGGAGAATAATATCAACAGTTTCATTCAGGCTTGTGGGGGTGTCCGTGGTGCCCCCATTCTCCCTCCTTAGCCTCATTTCCTTTTAGAATCTTAAAGAACACTGGGTGTCATCTAAGGAAGAGGCATCAAGCTTGTGCCCAGCCTCCCAAGTGCTACCCAAACCAGATAAAAATGTAATTGTTTAACAATGAAATATTTAACAAAATAAATAAAAATGCAACATAGATAATGTCAATTTGTGGTTTTCTAAATCAATAGGAAGCCCCAGGGATTCATTTCTATTTGAATTTGACACCATTGATTTGGTGCACATGCATCATTTGTCTTCATCTATCAACATGCCCTAGATTTTTTCAAAGTTTCATCTCTGTCCCAAACTCCCTATTACCCAGCCCCCTCCTTTATATTCCTCAGCTTTTCCCAATAGAAAACCAGTAAGAGCAGATCATTGCCATCCACTAGAGTCAGCCAATGCTTCCAAGTAGGCAACTCCTAATTCATGGTGTTTTCATGATTTCATTGAAGTTATCAATGAGCTTCTTCAGCAGTCCCATGAATCAGCAGCCATGTCTAATTCATCAACTATTTTATTACATACAAGGAGCTGTGCTAGACACTGAACATACCAAGACAAAACCAGAAGTTCCCATATGCAACTTACGATCTTACTTTTGTACAAAAACCTACTGACAGGGCATTTCCTAAGCAGTCTGTCGGTAAACAGTATGAGTTTGTAGTACACTAAACTTTAAGGGAGTTTCAAAAGTAATTGAACGATCATAAAATTTCAGAATTAAAAGAGACCTTAGAAATTGCTTAGTCCTATCCCTTTATTTTGCAAAGGAGAGGAGGAAGTTGAGGTTTACAGAGGGGACTTGACTTTCCCAAGGTCACACAGGAAATCAGTGGCAGAGCTAGGATTAGAACCTGGATCTCCTAGGAAGTAGTCTAGGGTTCTATTCCACTCTGCCAGAAAATAACATGGGAAATTTAATTGAGAACTTACAGTATATAGAAAAATCTGCAGTGAAATAGGGAGTGGAAATAAATTGCAAATTACAATGCGGGGGGGAATGGGGAGACAGAGACAAAGAGAGAGATTGGTATTGAGAATTGATATAGTAAATACATAACCTGAATTTATTCCCCATGCTGGTCCTCCCAACTTAGGGCAGTTGCTTTGGGAAGGGAAGGGAAAAGAATAAGCATTTTTTTTAAAGTGCCAGGCACTGTGCTAAGCACTTTATAAAATATTATCTCATAATATTATCTCATTCCATTTTACCATTGAGGAAACTGAGGCAGATAGAGGTTAAGTGGCTTGCCCAAGGGTCCATAGTAAACATCTAAGTCCAAATATGAACTCTATCTACTGTGCCACCTTGTTACTTTGGGACAGAAAAAGGTTAAAGGAATTCAAAATGATATTGTTATTAATTATTATTATTAATTGTTATAGTTAGCATATATATACTGCTTTTAGGTTTACAAAGTGTTAAGAAGAATTTGCTACATCTTAATCAGATACAGATCAGGAAAGGTAATAAGATTGCTTCAGAAATGGATTTGCCTCATTTTAATCCCAACATCTGCCAAAGTATTTAGCAGATGATTAGCTCTCTCTGTAATCCTGTGTTTTATACATTCAGTTTGAGGCTGACAGACGTGCTTTTATCATCACACTTAATTCCTTCGGCACGGAGTTGAGCAAAGAAGACCGAGAGACACTGTACCCAACCTGTGGTAAACTGTATCCAGAAGGATTGCGCCTGTTGGCCCGAGCAGAAGATTATGAGCAGATGAAGAATGTGGCTGAAAACTATGTAGTAAGTGCGAATGGGCCTTTCTACCCTTTTTTCCCCAGAATAGGATGCATTATTCTTATTAATTATTATTTAAAAACATACTCATGTGTAATGGGAACTGATGAATAGGGCATCAGGATGGCTGACAGATGCGATTGCCCATGTGGAAGAGAATGGAGAGCCAGCTTCCAGAGTAGAATGCCTTGGGGAGATTTGGAGCATGCACAGATTTTATGTAGCTTTCAGGCAACTATGTGTGGCATATGCCCCATTCTCAAATCATCTGGTGGCTTGATCTCTTGGCCTTTCAAAGCTCTTGAGGTTTTAGTCATTTCCTTTCTCCTTCACCTAAAATGAAAGAACAAATGCTGAGGAATGCTGAGCCCATATTCATGACACACATGTCAGTCTTGCATAGGCAGGGCTCGAGACCTCTATCCCCTTTCTTCTCTCACTGGAACTCAGCCATATTGGAAGGAGTCAGACCAAGAGGCCTGACTATGGTTGATAAGTGCCTTTTTGAACCCCCCCCCCCGGATATGGATCCAGTCCCGGATATGGAGCCAATCAAAGATGCTCCTGTTCTTTGTACGGTTAGTGGACCAGAATGTTTATCCACGCTCTAAAGTCCTCTCTGAGCATGTTCATAAGGACTAGACTCACCGGCCATTCCTCCATCATATCTGAATCATACTTATCCTCAGCTATAGCAATCATATTCTTCAATCTTTTTAGGGAAACCAATGATAGGCAGGGTGACCTGTGCTGTTGCATTGTAGAATGTAAGATTCTTGAGGCAGAAGCTGTCATTATTTTATATTTGGAGGTTATTACTTAGTACAGCGTCTGGCCCACAGTAATCATTTAAGAGTATATGTAGAACTATATAGTGACATAAACAATGGAAACAAATGACTAATTATAGTGCTAAAAATAGACTGTTTATGGGTTGTTTTATTAGGAACAATGCCCAACATCTTTCCAAAGAAATGCTTTCAAAAGCATCTCTACTCCAAAACTAATGGTTTTTAACCAAGTGTTTATCTCCTAAGAACGTCTGTTTTATTGTTTCATAAAAAAATTTCCCAATGGGTAGCCAAAATACTTTGGATATGTGATTGGTTCATATGGATCTCCTTGGTGTGGATGGGTTCTCTTCTAGTTACAAGTACAGAACACAACCCTTCCTTCCTCCTCTGAATGTTTTTTGCCCATGCCATTCCATAAATCATCCATGTAAAATTCACTTGGGAGTCTACCATTTTAAGAAGTCCTCATCAATATTTCTGTCTTTGCTTTTTAAGGAGTACAAGCCCTTGTTCGAAGCTGTTGGTGATGGCCCTGAAGGAAAGTCATTGGAAGATGTATTTTATGAACATGAGGTGAGATTATAAATCAGAAGTTATCCTAATCTAACTCAGGACTTTTAAACCCATATATTTTAACTTGAGGACCATGTATTTTACTTTTTCAGAATCACACACTTCAGTTATCATCAATTTAAATGCACATGGGCAACAAATATGTATATTTTGTGTCCAATTTATCTCTTAGTATGTTATGAATGTAACGTTTTCCCCACATGGGTTGATGTTCTTTTTTCTTTCCCCTTGCAGGTAAAATTGAATGTACTGACCTTCAACAGGCAGTTCCACTATGGAGTGTTTTATGCTTACATAAAGCTGAAGGAACAAGAGATGAGAAATATTGTGTGGATTGCTGAGTGTATTTCACAAAGACATCGAACAAAAATTAACAATTATATTCCCATTTTATAATTCAGTAGGAGAAGCAAGGTTAGAAAATCAACAAAGACAAATGTGCTCTTGTGGAAAATGATAAAGGGTATTTTGCTATATTCTGTGGGGTACACAAAAATAAACAAAGCTTCATCTTACCATGTATCAGATCTGTTATTAAACCTTATAAATTAACACTACAATAATAGATCAATTATTTCTTTTTCTAACAGAATTAAATCATTGTTTTTACATTTATAGCTCATGGTTCAATAGGCATTAAGCACTAATTTTAAATTATTCTAAAATCAATAGTAATTTATTCTTGTTTTGTACTCAAAAAGTCTTTCTCCTCACCACCCCAGTTATCCATAGCAAGAACTTTGATCCTGACTCCCCATCCCTTCTCACCTCCCTACCCCCCAGGCCTCTGGATATTCAGTTTTCTGTTCTCTTAAATTTTTAAATTTACTACCCTGATCTCCTTTCCTTACCTCTTGAAAAGGCAACGGCTCATAGTGCCTTAATGACAGTAGCCACTAAACACTGGGCTTTTGTGTAAAAGCTGATTTGTTGTTTTGGGACATCAATGCAACTTAGAATTTAAGTTTGCTTCTATGAAAGCATGTTAATATTTGTCAAGTCTTTCCAACCCACATCTCACCAGTGTGAGTGCATATACCAGCCACCAATGCAGATGTCAGCCCTTCCTTGCTCTTTTCTAGGTCTTTCCATAAATTCTCCATAGATAATCTACCCTATATGCTAGGAGACAAGATAGAGAAGAAGGAAGAAAAGGAAGACAGCAACAAGAACATCCTCTTCCTCTTCCTCATGGATAACATCAGCATAAAACTCAAACTGTCTCTCTGTTGACTCTTATTCCCACTGCAGAACTGAAGCAATTCCTTTCCTCATGTCTGTCACTGATAATGTATACCACTATTTTTATCCTGCTATTACTCTAAAAAATATTTTTCATATGTTAAAAAAAATGCATCTTTGACTCGAGAAAGAAAACAAAAGACTAATTGTATTGCACTATTCCTTCAGCAAAATAAATCACTGAACCATAATTCTGCATTGCAGGATTTCCCTGTGAATATGTCTGTGTATTAGCATGAAATCCTATGAAAAGGGAAAGGAATTTTGGGGTAAGAGGATCATCTTTTTTAAAGGTGAAAGAGGTTATCCCTAATTCATTTAGAGGAGTGAATTTTTCCCCAAAATAATTGACAAAAATCAATGTTGGTATGATGAAAAAAAGGGAAGGTGTCAGTAGTGGGGGCGGGGGTGAGGGTGGGGAGGAAGGGATTTTTGCCTCAGATAAGGGTTTAATAACTAGGAACAAATACAAATTTATAAAAAAAAAAGTTTTGAGGCAATTGGGATTGAGTGACTAGTGAGTGTCATGTGTCTGAGGCCAGATTTGAACTCAGGTTCTCCTGACTCCAGGGCCAGTACTCTATCCTCCGTACCACCTAGCTGCCCCTATACAAATTTATAAAATTAAAAGTCGTATCCCCACTGGGCTAGTGGTCAAAAGATAAGAACAAACAGTTCTCAAACAGTTCTCAAAGGAATGATTGAAAAATATTGATGGCCATATGAAAGATTGCTCTGAATTAATAATAGAAATGAAAATCAAAACCCTGATAAAAGATGGAAATAGTCCATGTTGGACTGCAAAAATATGGATATACTACTGCTCTTAAGTTGGTCCAGCCATTCTGGAAAGCAATTTGCAATCATTCAGAAAAAGTGACTAAAAAAGCCAAACTATTCAACCCATTGCTAGGCATATAATACCCCAAGAAAGTAAAGAATGGAAAAGTCTCAGCTACATTAAAATATTCATAATAGCACTTTTTGTGGTATCAAATAATTGGTATTTAAAGTATTGGGGAATAGCTAAACAAATTGCGGTATATAAACATAATGGAATATTACTGTAGCTTAAGAAATTTTGACAATGAAGAATTAAGCATTGGAAGAATAATTGAAGCAATGCAGAGTGAAGTAATCAAAACCAGGAAAACTATTCACAATGGCTACAACAAAATGGAAAGAACAAAAGTAACATATCCTTGAAAATTATTTAAGAGGTTGATAAAAATAAGTGTGGAATATTGCATACCCTGTTAGAATTAATTGATGTATTGCTTCAGTTTACTGAGCTGCTTGTTTTCTTTTTCATCTTTCTTTTTTATTCTTATAATACTGGGTTGTCCATTTTTGAAGATATGGGATGATGTCTTGACTTGCTCATGACTTGGATTTAAGTGAGGCAGAATTGAACAAAGTCAACAGCTTCACTCTCCGAGAGTCATTGAAATCCAGTGGCAAGACAAAAGTCAGGATGACTGGTGCTGGCCTGGGATGCAGTGGATGACCTTGGCATCTTTGATGTTTGACCACACTCTGAGTGCTCTGTAGTGCCTGTTTCAGCAACCTTTGTGGCCATCTGATAAAGGTCTCATTTCTAAAATATATAGTAAACAGTGAAATTTATAAGAATAAGAGCCATTCTCCAATTTTGTTTATAGTCAATATGAGTAGGTACTTTTCAGAGGCAGAAATCCAAGCTATCAATAGCCATATGAAAAAATGTCACTAATAATTAGAGACATGAAAATTAAAAAAACTATTTGATATCACTTCTCATCTGTCAGATTGGCTAAGTAGACAAAAGGAAAATAACAAATGCTGGAGGAGCTGTGAGAAAACAGGTATTTTAAAGCATTATTAGTGGGACTGTGAACTGGTCCAACCATTATGGAAAGAAATTTGGAACTATGCCCCCAAAGCTATTAAAATGCATATGCCCTTTGAACCAGCAATACTGATAATAAGTTTATGATCCAAAAAGATTAATAAATAAATCAATAGGCATTAAGTGGCCACCACGTGCCAGGTATTGTTAAGTGCTAGGGAGTTTCTACCCTTGGAGAGCTCACAATTTAATGGGAGAGATAACAAGAAAACATATATACAAACAAGCAATATACAAGATAGATGTGAAATAATTAACAGTGAAGGCGCTAGGCTTCAAAATCAATAAAAGATGGGATTTTAGTTAGGACTTAAAGAAACCCAGGAAAGCCAGTAGGAAGAGATGAGAGAGAGCATTCAGATGTGGGGACAGTCAGAGAAAATGCACAGAGCTGAGAGATGGTGTTTCTTTTCCTGGAACAGTCAAGAGGCCAGTGTCATGGGATTAAAGAGAATACTCGAAAGGTAGAGGCGGCTAAGTTATGAAGGGTTTTGAAACAGCATTTTGAATTTGATCCTGGGGCCACCTAGCTGTTTATAATTTATATCAATTGATCAATAAATATTTAACAGACACAGTGCTAAGCACTAGGAATATAAGAAGGGGCAAAAGACACTCCCTGTCCTTAAGGACAAATTACAATTACAATCTAATGAAGGAAACAACATGCAAAAAAATATTCAAAGCAAGCTACATACAGGATAAATGGAAGATAATTAACAGAGAGAAGGCACTGAAATTAAGAGGGGTTGGGAAAGGATTCCAGTGGAAGGAGATAGAGTGTCCTGTTTGTGGAATAGCCAGGAGGCCAATATGATTGGATTGAAGAGGATCTGTCAGAGAATAAGGTGTGAGAAGACTAGAAATGTAGGGCGGGGGGTTAGGCTATGAAGGATTTTGAATGTCAAATAGAGAATATTGTATTTTATTCTGGAGACAGTAGGAAGTCCCTAAAGTTGATTGGGAGTGGGGGGAGAGACATGGTCAGACCCGCACTTTAGGAAAATCACTTCAGTGGATGAATGAAGGATGGATTGGGATGGGGGGTGGAGGGGATGGAACTAGAAGCAGGCAGATTCACCAGCAGGATATTGCAATACTTCAGGCATCAGATGATGAGGCACTAGAGTGGGGGCAGTATCCCAGGAAAGAATATATATTAGAGAGATGTTGCAATGTGAAATCAACAGCAATAGATTGAATATGGAGGGTGAACAGTGAGTTGAGGATGACAACCAGGTTGCAAGCCTGAGGTACTGGGACGATGGTGGTGCCCTCTATAGTAACAAGGGAAATAATAAGGAAGGTGAGGGAGAAAGGGTTTAAGGTGAAAGATAATGAGTTCTGTTTTGGACATGTTTAGTTTAAGTCATCTACTGGACATTGAGAGAAATGATTATTTCTCTCTTATATTAATAACCAATTACTACCAGGGGATGCAGGTTTGTTTGTTGGCTTTTTTTTTTTTCTAACCTTCCTATCTCCTCATTCTCTACTAGGTCAAATCAGCTTCTGAAGAATAAGGCTATAGATGATAAGATTGGATTTAACATTTTCCTCAGTCTTGTTCAGACCTTACCCAACTGGAGAAGCTTGTCTCCAGAACAAAGATTAAAGAGTAAAAAGAATCTTATCTAGGTGAATTCTGAACCATTGTGTTCTACTCTGGCTTGAAGTGGGGTTTGGGGGTGGGGGGAGGGGGGGGAGAGAGATCCTTTGTCTAGATTGATCAAGTCTGGGGGTGGTCTGGGAGTAAGAGTGACATAATCAAAGTCACATCCCCCAGCACCTCATTAGAGTAGGCTCACCTCTCATAATATTTATTCTCTCATCAACGTTAACCAATCAGAGTTGTGATTGATTCAGGAATACCCACTCTTTCAAGGGTATATAAGCATCAAGAGATCTTCAGGCCTTTGGTTTACAAACGAAGGCCAAATCACCATCTTTTTATTAATTATTTAGTGGTCATAATTAATAGAATGATTAATTACCCAGAAACTAAGTCTCTCAAACTTTTTACATGTCACAACATCTAGTTTGAGATGTCTGAAAGACAATTGGAGATGTAACATTGGAGCTCTGCAGAGAGATTGGAACAGGAAAGGTAGATTTGAGAGTCGTTAGCATAAAGATGATCCCAAATCCATGGGATCTGATGAGATCAACAAGTGAAATAATATAGAGAGAGAAGAAAAAAGGGCCCAGGACAGAATCCTGTGGTGAGAGGCTGCGATCTGGATGAGGATCTAGCAAAAGAGACTGAGAAGGAGTGGTCAGAGAGTTGGCAAGGATAGCAGAGAGTGGTTTCCTGAAAACCTAGAGAGAAAAGATTCTTCTGGAGAAGGTGATTGACAGTGTCAAAGGCTGCAGAAAGGTCAAGGAGAATGAGGATAAAGAAAAGACCATTGGATTTAACAACTAAGAGATCATTGGTAACTTTAGAGGGAGCAGTTTTGAATGGAATGATGAGGTCAAAAGATGGATTGTAAGAGGCTAAGAAGAGAATAGAAGGAAAGAAAGTGGAGGCACCTATTATAGGATCCCTTTTCAAGGAGTTTAGCTACAAAGGCAGAAAAGATATAGGAAAATATTGGAGATGGAAAGATCAATCAAGATTTTTTTGTTTTTGATTTTTTGGAAAGAGGAGACATGGGTAGTAGGGGATGAACCTGTAGAAAGGGAAAGATTTAAAGTAAGTGATAGAGTAAGGAATGACAAAGGGGACATTCTGTTGGAGGAAACTGGATGAGGTTGCTTGCAAAGATAGAGGGGATAGTCTTTTAAAGAGTAAGGCCACCTCATCATGTGATAGAGGGGTGAAGGAGGAGATAGTGGCAGAAAGCATATGAGTGTTATGACAGAAGGAAGATGGAAGAGGGAGCTGATGGAAATGCCTCAATTTCTTTTCTGCAAAATATGAGGTGAGGTTTTCAGCTCAGAGAGTTGGGGGAGGGAGTCATGGGAGGATTGAGGAGGGATGGAAAGGTTTATAAGAGTCACTGTGGAGATTGGATAGTGAGTTGAAATGGGAGGCATAGGATTACCTATGTGATCCTCACATAGTGAGGGTCCTCACCTAAGTGAGGGCCCAGCTGAGGTTGTGTGTAACATAAATTTGTAATGTACCAAGTCAGAATGATTGCATGATTTTCTCCACCTTCATTCCGCAGCATATGTGTAGGAGTGAAAGCCACAAGTGGTAAGAGTAATCCATGGTTGAGACTTGAATAAGGATAATCAGAGATGTGATAAGGGAGCTTGAGATTTGAGAGAGTGTAGTTTAGAGTTGAATTGACTCATCAATGGATCAAGATAGGAAAAAAAGAAGAGAGTGGCTAGTGCAAGAGAGATGGCTTGGGAGATAATTGAGGGGTCAAAGAATTGGAGGTCACAGTGTAGATGAAGAATAGGGTTCTGTTAGGGAAGGCAGAGGAAGAGGTAAAAAGCAAATTGTTTATGACTGGTTAAGGGAATTTCAGAATTCTTGTATGGAGGTGGTACATTTGTAGGTGATAACAAGATCAAGGCTATGACCATCTTTGAGTGTGACTGAGATGGGGTGGAGGAGCAGCTCAGAGGAAGTGAATAGGTTGAGTGGTTAGTATACTTGAGGAAGAGTTGATATGGAAGAGCTAGGTGTTAGGTTGAAACTTTGGGGTAGGAGGGTTGAGTGGCATAGGAGTAAGGAATCAGGTTGCCAAGGGATAGGGAATGGGGTTTGAATCATGACCTTCAGGGGTTCAAAATCACTGGGATGACTATGCATGAAAATGTTCATTATTTAGTACAGAGAACCTCTCCTCTTCCCAATACAGTTGGAGATCACACTAAAGGCAAGTATAATATGAGAGGGAAGACACAAGGTCAGATGATCAGATGGTCAGATGGGAGGCCCTGCTTCACTACTCCTCTTCCCCTTGAAGGGTGGAGATTAAACTGGAAAAGGGCCCAGCAGGAGATGGATGTTGAATCCACACAGCAGGAGAAAAAATTCTCATTCCACACCAACTTTTCTTTTCCTCTTCCCTCCATGGATAGGCATAGCAGGAGATGGAAAACCTGAGATCAAAGGTAAAGCTGCTCTTTTGCATGAGAGATTCTCCACATCCCAGTTGGGAAATTGGGCTGTCAGCTGTAGGTGCTGACAGAGATGGAAGTCATTGCTTTGGAGCAGATGGAAGATGCCTGGCCCCTTGCCACTGTCCCTTAAGGGACACCCCGCACCCAGCAAAAAATGGAAGATACAAGGTGAGAGGTCCGAAGATCATTTGACTCCTCTAGATTAAAGAAAAAGATAAAAGACTATAGGGATAAAAATATTTATAGCAGCTCTTTCTGTGGTAGTAAAGCATTGGAAATTAAGGGCATACCCATCAATTGGGGAATATCTGAATAAGTTATGGTATTTGAAAGTGATGAAATACGTATGTGCTTTAAGAAATAATGAAAGGGTTGGTTTCAGAGAAACCTGAGACTTATATGAACTGATGAAAAGTGAAGTCAGCAGAACCAGGAAAACAACTTACATAATAATAACATTATTATAAAGATAATCAACTTCAAAAGACTTAGAAACTGATTAATAAAATAACCAACCACAATTCAGCAGACTCATAGTGAAATATACTATTTACCTCCTGATAGCTGATGGACTCAGAGTACAGATTGAACCGTCTTTTCTCTTCTTCTTATCTCTTTTTTTCCTT